TTGCCAAGCCATTCCTTTGACGTGGAATAAGCTTTGGTCGATGGGGGTTGATACATACTGTGTTCGCGAGGACTGCATCCATGGAACGCGCCGTGGAAATTTCCGGCAGCGTGAGCCCACAAAGACTTATATAACTTGTCAAGCTGCCTGATTTGGGACTTGCACTGGCCGTTCATCTTGAGAGAAAAAGTTTTACTTTTCGATGGACTGGCTGGCCGTGTAAGGCGGAATGGAATACGCGAATATCCCCAGCGATAATCGATAACCTCTTTAGGCTCTGGCTTTTGCGAAACCGCTTCCTTTACACGTACTAGCTCGGATTTCACACCCGAATCAACAATTTCTAAAAATTATCACATTGAAACCGTAAGCACTGTGTGTGTGAAGTTGGCTTCTTTTCTCAAGATCTCAAGTCTATATAAAACGTATAATATGCATGTCTCCTTCTTCATTCCACTCTCCTCTGCATCCCCTCTATAAATGAAATCCTCCTGGGACGGCAGTACAGTTCACGAACATTCTCCTGGTACAGTGCGCCCAGTGGTCGAAGAAAGGACAGAGAAAGATTGCACAAACAGTACCGACAGTGGCCAGGGCAGCAGATATCCAGGCTCTGGTACTGCTGAAGACCCTTATATCGTTAGCTGGGACGAAGATGATCCTGAAAATCCATACAACTGGACAAAAACGCGCAAGTGGATTATCACCACACAGGTCAGTGGCTTGGCTTGATCTTGAAGCTTCCATGAGGTTCACACGTTTGTTACCAGCTGGCCTTGACCACATTTACCGTGTCTTTCAGCAGCAGCTCATACAGTGGCGGTCTGGAAGGAGTTACACGCGATTTGCATGTATCAGATGAAGTAGCCGTATTGGGCATCTCGTTATACGTTTTGGGATTTGCTCTCGGGTATGTGGCGCCAAAGGTATTCATCCATGCCTTTAACTCAACTTGTCAATATCAGCCCACTATTATTCGCGCCAATGGGAGAGGTTGGTTCTATTCGCTATGTTATATTGCGGCGGTCAATTGAAAACGTCCTATCTTTGATCTCTTTAGATTTACGGACGGGTAACGTCGTTTCAATACCATACCTGTCAGTATTAACTAGAGCGACGACGACTTTAGCGCATAGTGTTTCTTATAACGGTTGGGCTCTACACCCCGCTTCAGATCGGTGGGGCCCTGGCTCAAAACATAACCACAATCCTTGTCATACGTTTACTTACAGGTATTTTTGGTGCTTCGCGTGAGTTTCTAGATGTTTCTCGTGTTCATTCAATTGTCTGATGTGCTTCGCATCTTTTACCATCAGCTTTAACAAACGCCGGCGGAGTAGTAGCAGATATATTCAACTCTCGCGAAAGAGGTATGGCATCGGCAATCTATGCAGCAGTCCCGTTTCTAGGTCCAGGTACTTGATCTCTCGAGTGGCATAGACACGTACTCATAAGCCTGCAGTTATCGGTCCAATAGTAGGAGGTTATGTAGCTGATTCTACACTGGGTTGGCATTTCAACTTCTGGCTCATGCTATTATTGGGTGCGATGAGTTTAGTCATGGGTATTTTTGTCGCACCAGAAACAGTAAGTTGTGGTTAATAGGTTGGTTCGATGGCTTCTTTTACACTCCGTCCAGTATTCACCCGTTCTCTTGCGGCGACGAGCGAGGAACCTCATGAAACTTTCTAACGGTATGGTTCGTTACATGTCAAAACACGACATCAGCCGCTCCACTTCCCTCATAAAAATCATGCGAGTCAATCTTAGCAGACCATTTAGTCCGTGTTTTTTTTAAAAAAATTATGTATGCCTCATTCCAGCCTCTAACGAAAACTTTTTACCACGATGTAGCTTTTTTGGTCACTGAGCCAATCGTTTTATTTTTCGCAATATACATCTCAGTCGTATACGGGACTCTTTACGCTTTATTCTCCGCTTTCCCGATCGTATTCGAAAACCATCGAGGATGGTCCGCGGGATCTACAGGCCTTTCTTACCTAGGACTTGGAGCTGGAATATCTCTAGGGACAGCCACTGCATCTATTCAGAATAAATTTTACTGGAGGGCGATGGATAAAAGCCCAAATGGACGGGCAGCACCAGAGGCGTAAGCGTTTCCGAGTCTAACGATGTAGTCTTTGAATACTTATCAACTTTTCATGCTCCCAAGTCGCCTTCACACCGCAATGATGTAAGTTCTTTCGTCCCCTACTGTGATCCTTGGATACTTATCATACTGTAGGGGAGGTGAATCGCATGTTCGCCAGGTATAAACACTCGAGCTGACTTTGAAACCAGGTATTCTTGTTCCCATTGGACTCTTCTGGGTCGCATGGTATGTTATCTTACCTCCGGTGGATCTCCCATGTTGAAAACATGCTCTATCAGGACCGCGGACCCACCTGTCCACTGGATCGTTCCTATCATAGGCGGTTTCCCTTTCGGCATGGGGGTCTGTCAAATTCTTCAAAGCTCAACTGCCTACCTCATGGATGCGTACGAGTTATACTTTGCGAGGTAAGCAGTCGAGAACATGGCAGGTATAACAAGTAGTAAGCCTTTTTCTTTCAGCGCGGTCGCGTCAACCATTATATTAAGGAGTATTTTTGCCGCCGTATTCCCTGTCATTGCGCCCACAATGTTCGGAAGATTGGGAGATGCATGGGGGATGAGTATTTTTGGCTTCTTGGGATTAGCTTGCACCCCAATACCTTTCCTTTTCTGGGTACGTTTTCATCAGCTTCATAAGAAGCCTTCTTTAATCCATCTCGATTTACAGAAATACGGAAAAGCTATTCGCAGTAGATCACGATATGCCTATAAAGAATCTGACGAACCATCATAGCATACTTACGTTAAATCGAACCTACGATGGACTATTGCATGACAGTTAATATTTCTGTGAAATATTTAGATGACGCAAGGTACTTTATGTTTATTGTAAATAGTTTGCTATCGATAAAAAGCCAATGCGAGCTTCTAGCCATGAAATGGGGCGTCATATCATCTCTCCACACGGATTTAATTTACTCTTTGAGCCCTAACGAAATACATGCTTCGCGAACGTAGTTTGAGATAGTGAAGATGCCGTATATTAGGAGTTCGAAGGCGTTCATTCTCTCTTCCTCCGACCCTCTTGGTTACGGTTCCGTGGTTCCACATCATTTTTGTTCAGGGTGATACCGAGACCGATATGGACGAGAACTCCCACCTCCAACGTCTGGAGGCCCCTTGCTCCAGCGATGATTTTGACGAGCATAGCGACTTGACGCGTATGAGGGAGTTTCAGATGTACTAGAAGAACCCGCGTTTGTCTCCCATGTGTTATACGAGGTAGGAAAGTCATTGCTTGAAGTCCACTGGGATGTCCCCTGAGAACCCAGGTCCTCATCGAAAAGCTGCTCTTCAACTGCCACCTGAGACACCTCTGCAGCAGGAATCCCAACCCGCATAAAGTCCCAAGCAGCGCGAGCATTCCCCATGCCCCACGCTTCAGTCGCTTGGCGTTCAATTTCTGCGATCACATTCGTTCGAACCCCCTTTAAACGATAACCCTCGTTTGGATTTGGTGCAGGAAACCTAGTAGCATCAGCGATAGTAAGTTCAAGGAAGATGGCTAGGAGATTTCTTGGGTCATACCTTCCTCCTATATGATTGAGGACGAGTTTTCGAGCACCGATGGTCTTGGCGAATGCACCAGCCATCTCAGGTATGGAATGTCCTCTGGCCAGGGCTTTCTCTTTGACGGTATCGTAAGAGCGTTTAGCCTTAGGATCGATGTCTGGTGAAATATGTGCATCTGTAGCCTCATGAACAAGAAGGGATGGCGAGGGATCTATGCACAAGGGTACTATAGCCGAAGGATCATTGGTGTCCCCCAAAACCACTATTTTGCGAAACGGCTTCGCGGCCTCCCTGAAAACAAATCCGATACATGGATCTGGGATCTCATATATGAGCAGAATGAAATAGTAATAAATGAGCGCTGCAAACCTCGGTGTGCGATAGGTCCCGCATCAACTGCGACTGGACCAAAGATCCCGTCGGCTTGTAATATATCTCTCCAAAGACTGTCTTCGGGAGAGCACACTATATCTTTACCAGCGACTTCACTCTCATGCATTACATCGGGCTCACATGAAGTTACCGAGTCTGTGAGATTCAACAGCTCATGCACAACATACTTTGGGGGATAAAACGAGTCATCGCGGAAATTGAGAAGGCAAGTGCAATGGAATTCGGAATAATTACCTTGTCAGACGTTCTACTGGAGGTCATTTTCAGTATACTTCGAACGAACGTTCTGAGGCCTGCAGGCCCGTACAGCTCTATTGTCGGATACTATACGATCATTAGAGCGGATAGTATTTCTGTCAAATAGACTCTTACCGATTTTTGAAGGGCTTGGATCTGAGCTGCATCTTGGCCTACGGGTACTGGAAATAGTACGTTGCGGAGAATAGGTACTATTCCCATAACGTGGTCAGCTGCACTCGAGCGTGTTATTGAGATGTAGATAAGATCGAGTACACTTGTTTACCATGCATATGCGTTATAAATATTTTTTTGAGCTGGGATAATCGCGGGTTGGAACGATCTGGACTATACGGTTGCAGCTGAAACTGGCGAAGAGTCCCTTCCGCACAATCAACCACTGAAAGCCATTTTAAGCATGTGGAGAAACTGATGGAATACGCGTACTCCAGAGTTTTCCGTCTCCTAAAAGATCAGCAACAAGAGATGAGCAGTTTCGTGATTGGCTCGGACCTCCACCACTGGAAGTTCCAAGAAAGGTTACGGTCATTGTGGTAGTTAACATCTGGGCTGGGATGTGGAAACGAGATGATGAGCTGTGGCGTACAAAAAGTGGAGAATGAGATAGTCGAGCTGAGAGACGAAGCATGAATGATGGAAACAGTATGGACAACTGTAAATGACGGCGCTAAAAATTCTGCCGGGATTCAAATTATTACCCATGTTTGGCCATGCTTAACTAAGGTAGCGTGGCCGAGTGGTCTAAGGCGTTGGATTTAAGAGCACACCAAATTCCTTGGTGGTTCATCCCAATGACGAAAGTCGCGCGGGTTCAAATCCCGCCGCTACCATGAAGGAGGTCTTTTTATTCCTCTGCCGACTTTATCGGCCACGAATTGTCTTTTATCGATATCTGCGAGGGAAACTGGGCCTCGGACACCGACAATCTTGACTACAAGACGGACTTGCTAGGAAACCTGCTCTCTGCTATCCCCGGTTCCGCACACGTTTACTGGGATCCTGCTGTCGCCCCCAATACTGTACGACGTTGCGACAAGCTGCCAGCCACCACTGGGCCAAACCACATTCATAGATAGTCACCTCTCCGTTCATTTCAACTTCAAGGGCTGCCTCTGAGTTCGCCGCTCACAGAGATACAACACACTATATCTTCTATTATTGCACTTGGATGCAGAGAGATAGCTATGACACTCCGGCGCCTTGCCAATTGGAAGGACCATACTGTTCTAGCCATACATTGAGACAAAGCGAGTTCTTCTAAGTTTTTTTTTTCGTGCTGGCATCGCCGCACCGCCCTTCTGAAACGAATCACAGACCATTCCCTCCTTCGAGGAGGTCATTTCGTGCACATTTGATGACACTACTGCACAATAATGTTAGTAGACAGACAAGTCGCCCATGATCTGTGTAGTTCTAGCTCACCGCATTGATATTATGATGAGAACGTGTACTGTTGACGTTCTTGCGAAGCCAGGTTTGCAAGATCTTCAGGCCGCTCTCCATGCGGTCACTTTTCGCTGAATGATCCGACGCGTGTAAGTATATAGTCTTGACACGGACATCGACCTCCACTACTTACAATCACGGATAGATCTATTCGCAGCAGTGTTTTCATTTTTCCAAGTGCTCACTTTCATACATGATAATTTCACTAGTTGTATACACACTACATTCAAGAGGTATTCCGATAACTAAAACACTCCGTTTCCACACCAGACATTCAAAAAATCTACGAAACGAACGTTAGTCCAAGCATCAAGTTTTAAGAATAGAGCGTACGCCAGAGATATTGTCCTGACCACCGGGAATTTGACGAACTCTGCCAACAAGGAAACCGATCAACAAACGATATTACTGGAAGAACCATTACGCACCGTCGAGTAGGCTTAAATTCTTCCTGTTGGTCATTTGAATCCCAAAAGCCTGACAAAGAGTCCTTTCCACCGGGGACGGTCCTTACACGCCTTGGAGATAGTTCAAGTACGTTGCAGAGTAGAATATTATGATATATATACCTGCTAGGCTTGACATGAGAGGTAAAGTTGATGCCCGTATGCTCATCTTCCTCTTGCACTTCTTCATGAGTTATTGAAGGACTACCAATTTCGGTTTCCTACAAACAAGCGTATAGAGAGATCAAAAAGAGAAGCTGTAGGTTCGTACATCGACTTCTTTGGGGGGAGCCGTCGATAATGCATCACCCGCTTCATTGTCGCCAAAGAGTTCGGTATGAGCCCCACCTGGTACTTGACGGACGCGACGAGACGGTTTGAAGGCCTCTTCTTCTGCAGTAGTACTCGTGGAAGCTGGAGAGGATGTTAGTGGTCTTGTTTTGATGCACAACTGGAGGACGAACGGGTAATGGATGGGGTATTTTCAGACGAGGCAACCCCCGCTGACATCTTGCCAAATTTTGCATATTCTGCAACTTGTATTGATTCCTTGATCAGTGGAAGGCTTCAGAACGTACTGGGAAGTTTTTGGATATTTCCAAAGTTAGTGTCCACCGTTGTTCCGGTGTATCTAGTTCGAGAGTTAAGACGCGTCTAATCAAGAAGCTTGTGTGATATACTTGAGGAATTCGATCAAGGATCGCTTCGTGAACACGATGTTTGTAGTGTCCCAGTCAAGCATTCCTGAGACCAATGAGCTTTGGGAAGCCAATGATATGGATAGATGTACCAAGGCCGACACTCCATTCCTTTTCTTTGGACATGTCAATAACATTCGAAGGCGTGAAGCTAGAGAAATACCAGGTCAAAAGAAACAAGGTCAAAAGAAAGAAGACGGACGTGGAAGACATAATGGAAGTAACTGAAAGAGAGAGAGTAAACAAATAACTTGTGATCGCGACCATCAAGTTGACTGACATGTTTGCTTCCTCCACAGTTACCAGGGGGCTCTCGCGATGTTTCAACCGCCGTTTTCTGGCTTCGCAGGCATATATCCGTCCTACTCCCAATGACGCAGCGACTTCTACTACACCATCGAATATTACTCTAGAACAGCACGCTGCGCTGGATTCAGCTCTTCGCGTGGACCATGCAGGAGAAGTTGCCGCAAACTGGATTTATCGTGGCCAACATTTCGTTCTCGGAAAACAGCCGGATGTTGGGCCTTTGATTCAAGTATGTAGGCTTTTTAAACTGCAAAACCAGTTGCCTCAACTATGCCGTCAGGAAATGTGGGATCAGGAAAAGAAACATCTTGCGGTAATGGACAAAATGCAAATTCAACATCGTATTCGGCCAACGATTCTTATAGAAGCAGCAAAGATAGGAGGATTTGGATTAGGTGCTGTTACAGCGCTCATGGGCAAAGAAGCTGCAATGGCTTGTACTGAGGCGGTTGAAACAGTTATAGGGGAACATTACGACGAGTAAGGGTTCTAATGCTTTTGCGACCACCACTAACACTTCTACCAGTCAACTGAAAGAAATGGAGTCGTTTCCCTCTGATCATCCAAGCATTCCGCTGCTGAGAGAGGTGGTAAAAGAATTCCGAGATGACGAGCTGGAACATTTGGACATTGCAGTTATAAACCACGCACAAAGAGCTCCGGCTCACGCTCTGCTGAGTACTGTTGTAGGAATGGGATGCAAGGTAGCCATTGAGCTATGCAAAAGGTTCTAATATAAGTATACATTTATCCTGCAAGAGGCTGGTCTTTAAGCTTTGCGTTCCAAGTCCATCGGTTCTATGTGGATATATGAGCGGACAGTCGACATAGAGTATACTTTAAAACGCACGCTACTGTAGCTGATTGCGGTGTACAGAGCTGTCGGAAAGACAATGAAGGCGACAACCGCAGTCTTGACGGATGCAGGAGTCCATCGGAAACGAAGATAATGTTGTTCACGCTGTAATAGAGTCAGAATTGGTAGATTTCTTTGAAGAAGAAACATACCCAGATATTGTGGTTTTCAATGGCTTTTTCTGTCTTCAGGACACCTGTAAGGCAAAATTAAACAACGACACGAAGAGAAAGCCTTTGAACTTGCCATGACCTCCAGCCATGACGGTGTGTTACAAGTTTGATTGTATACTTACATAGTTTGGCTGTGTTTATTCATTTGTTTCCTTTCGACTGTCATCACCATGAACCATACAGATAATCGTGAATGGGATAGAGGCAAAACCGGTGAAGCCACTTGGTATCCAACTGATTCTCGCCAGAATTACCATCCAAGAGAGGATGACTATTATGGTCAGGGAAAACGTAGAAAATTTAATGACGGTGTATGTGACCAACTTTTGTTTTTTTGGCTTTGGCTTACTGCGCCAGGGATACCAGGGCTATGACGCTTCTCAAGGCTACGAAGACCAGAATTTCGACGCTAGCTATCCTCGTCAAGGTCCAGAACATTCTCAAGGCCAGCCAGGTCGCGGTGGACCCGGTGGTGGTTTTCCCAAGAAACGACTCCAGCCTTCCGAACCCAGTCCTCACGTTATTTTCCTTGGTCTTGATCCTGATTTCACCGAGTCGGATGTGTGTTGCAGTTCTCTTTTCCAATTTACTTTTACTCATCCGACATTTCAGCTACAATCTTATCTCAATTCCCATGGATGCAGCGTAGAAACGGTTACAATCATCCGAGAAAAATTAACAGGCAGTTGCCCATTCGTATATTCTCCTTTCCGCATGCATTGACATTCTCTCTGCGTCTGGATTATCAAGGTTCTTCCAAAGGGTTTGGCTTTGCGCAATTCAGCAGTTCCGAGCATGCCCGTGCCTTCGTGGACCCGCTATTTCCATTTGTTCAAGTGCCACCTCCGGCTTCGCATGGCGCCACTGCAACGGCAGCATTTTATAAAAACCTCGAAACCGGATTGCCTCATAACGGGAGGAGGGTCAAGATTGATTACTCTCAAAGTGCCACACCTCACGAGAAGGGTCGGTCCAGAGGAAACACAAACGACGGTACCCGGGATATTGGGAACACTCAAGCCCCTGTTCTTCTTTTTAGAGGACTTGACCCACTTTCTGGGCCACAGGCTATTCATCAGGCAATGAGGTCATCATCAGGGGTTGGAAAAGAAGGAGCCAAAGGAATGAAGAGGATTATTCTCATCAAGGATAAAGTGACGATGGCCAGCTTTGGTTTTGCGTTCGTAGAGTTTACAGATACAACCGTACTTCCTTTCCTTTCTAGCGCGATCTGTACACTGATTTTTTCTATTCATAGTCAGCTTCTTCAGTACTCGCCGCAACAATGTCACCTCAAATCCATCCAGCGGGATTTCGGATTTCGGATCGACCTGTCGCAGCGTCTTTTGCTCACCCCGATTCGTTCCAGCCTATCCAGGAAATAATGCTGCGAAATGAAGCCTGTCTCACGTCATCACTTGCTCTAGGTGGTGTGGAAGGCACCTGGGTCCGATACTGGGATGAGACGTCTACTGTCGCGGTTCTTGAATTCCAAGTCAGCACACCACAACCAGCAGCACCTAGTGTGAAAGAAAAGAAGGAGAAGGAGAAGAAGAAGAAAGGTAAATGACATATTTCCTCCCATCAATATATCTTAATATCTTGTTGTAGAACCAGCTTTACGAGCTATAGCGCCTCCAGCTCCTTCCGCACTGCCCGTATCCGACAAACCCGTCACTCTTAGCTTCAATAAAGGTCCTGCGAAAACTGCTACAGGTTTGTGGCTTCAATCTCTACAAAAGATTACTCCTTGATTATTGTTAGCTTTAGGACCCGCCATCAAACCGCTGACTTTAGGATTCTCTGCTGATGATCTCGATGAAGATAACAGAGACGACGGTTCGACCGGCACTAAAGGTAGCTGATTCTTCTTAGCTGCGAAAACTCTAATTGAAAATCTCC